GATTTGTTCCTATCCTTTTAAAATGGGCAATGGTACGTATTGACGTAAAACTATATCGATATTTTTTCCATGAGAATCGATAGGTACCTAACTTGATTTCGTCAATTTTGGCAATAATAGTACGTTTTGGATTTCTACGCCTCAATTATGGTATTTGTGGTCTTAGTATGATTGACATTGTTTAACAATTGTAATAATGAATAAATATACAAATATACTTACATAGTTACATAATATCATTATCGTATACTATACTAACAGAGATGATTTCAACCTGCCTTGCAGTATTGATACTACACCTACAGAAGATATAGTTTATCGTCTGTATTTACAACCATTACTGAGTAAGTACTTACAAAAAAATGAAAAATAAATAAATGTGGACATAATAATAAAATATAATATACTTAATATTGTAGAGAAATTTCTGACCATAACTTGAGTGTTATTTATACTGAATCTGAAGATGGTGTATCATCTGAAAATACTACTGAATATAACTACTGAGTAAGCGTACAAACAAACAAAAATGTTTTGAATTACGATCGACTTGTTTTTATAATTTATTTAAGTAACATTTTTATAGAACTTCATATTAAATTTTCAAATCGTAGGTATAAATATTAAAAATCTTATGCATTTTTAACTACAAAATAATTTGCACATTTTCGTGGTTTTCTACATTTTTGAAAGACTAGATGAACGTGGAGTCTTGTATTCAATTTTCAAGTATTTTGATGAATAGAAAATTTTTTATCTTCATTTATTATACAATATTAATATCAATAGACATTAAAAAGGAAAAAAAAAATAAAAAAAAAATAGAAAGTTATGGGAAAATTATTTTATAGTCAAACATTCTTAAAATGTTTAATATTCATACCCGAGACAGTAATACAATTCGAAAATTGTATCTGATATTATCAACAAATTCCCGGAAAATCGTCGATGACGGCCACCACGACAATTGTATACATAAGTATTAGTATACTAGCCGACCCGTCACAGCTTCGCCCATGATTGGTTGTTTATTTTGTCTTCGGACGATAATATGTTTAATTTTTTATTAAAATTTTATCGTTTAATGAAAACGTATTCAAATGTTTCTAGCGGTATTAATGGTAAATATATTTTTATATCAGAACCCGTTCACTTCATTACCCGTAAAAATCGCAAATCTTAAAAATGTATGATTGTTCAACTACTTTTGGGTGTAACTTGCTGCAGCCTGCAGTAAGTGCAACTCAGCCACCCTGGTAGGCAATCCGACTACTTGGGCAACTTTTTCACCAATCACCTTTGTTAAGCAATGTTCAATAAGTCGATTTGATGCAAGCTTGTACCTGATCTTCCTGATCTTCGGAACTATTAATAATTAAAAATAAAATTTTCAATGTGAACCTCAATGTCCCTATTTGAGCACCTCTTTAAAGTTCGAATTTTACCAAATCCTTTCTTATTGCACTGTGAAAGTATTAGAAGAACCACTATTCTAAATTTCAAGTTCGTACATTGAGTAGTTTAACTATAGAAAACTTTAGAAAACCCTTACCATTTTATATAATATTGAACACCCCCCCCCCCCCCCCCCGGTGTGTACGCCACTGCGACCGCGACGTCGACACATAGTATTTACGTAATTACGGAACCGATTTCGAGCGGATTTTTGGGCAACGCGCGCCAAATACTACGAAGACTGTATGTTGACTTCAAATTCGTTTTCAGAATTCTTATCGTTTTACTAGATTAATTGGAAAGTGTCTATAATAATATGTTGCGCATGTGTTAGACAAAGACAGAACATTCCGACTGGAACCGCCCTAAGAGGACATTTGTTATCTCGGTCTTACAAGTGCATAACATAGCTAATTGTACTCTCTGCAGATCACGTTTACTTCCAAAAGTTTAAAAATTAGATCGAACTATCTCTTGTAAAATTTAAATTTAAGATTATTATCTGGGGTATCTCAAAAGCTTTATATTGTATTTTAATTTTAAAGTGAGTTATGAGTATTTTAAGATGTACAATAATTTGCAGTTTTAACATACTCATAACTCGCTCTTTAAATTTTATAAGAGGTCAATTCACCCTAATTTTTAAATTAGCGGAGCTAAATGTGATCTGCAGAGAGTAAAATTTAATGTCCTATTAATGTTATAAATTATAACTAATTATAATACTGTGTTATACTGTTTTAAACGTTTTGTACGTAAAATGGATCTTCTACAAAAATCAAGATCAAAGTGCTTAGTTGTTAAATATTATAATATGTTTGTATTTATAAATATTATCTCAAAAGTACTAAGTGTCATAGTACCTACCTAATATTTTTTTTTTTAAATTTTTTAAGCTTTGAGCATAACTAAATATTAGTATACTTACACTTAGCAAAGGTAAAGTACAGGTAACTAAAATGTATCAAGTTGTTGAATATGCAATAATAACAAATATTTACATATCTATTATTTTGTATTTAAGTGTTATGTTATATAAAAAGTTATGCATTTGAATGTCCTAAATAATATTATTATTACAAAATTTTATTTTATTTTATTTTATTTGGCATAAATTAAAAAATATTATTTTTCCAAGCAGAAATAATGACAAAAGTAAAATAAATTACTCTAATAGCAATAATATCATTGAATTATTTAAATTATTTAAATACCTAGTAATATAGTCTAACATGTAGGTTAGGCTGTCTTCTCTCAGAGTTGTTTTCTGTTTAGATCGATTTATCATTCAATCTAAATTTAACATATACATTACAGTGACCACTTGTTTAGTTTTTTGAACAAAGTTGTCAGCATTAAAAAAAAAGAAAATAATAAAAATAGATTTAAATTTATTGTATTATAAATTAATAGGTAACAAAAATGATTTAAGATTACATCTAGCTACCTACTTAAATAGTATATAATATATTTTATAATTATTACCATTAATATTTTTAAAGTTTAACTTTAATCTATTTTTAATTTTGTATTCATCTTACATACTAATTTAAAATATAAGATTTTGTAAGATCAGTCGGCAATTAATTGTAAAATAAGAAAAATAATTGGTATAAAAGAGAAAGTTCTACAATATAATTTACAATTTATGATTTTATATTTTATAACTTAAGATAGGTACCTATAAATAAAAAATAAAGTTTTAATTTTTATGCATTTCCAAAAAAGAAAAAAAAATTATAATAATATTATATTATAGACAAAAAAAGATACAAATCTAAAAACTACACCAGAAAAATAATTGTTATCCAAAATAAAGTTTTAAAATATCATTTACAATTTATTATTCAATATTAATTTACAACTTAAAAAATAAATAAATAGCATAAGTTGTAATTTGTTTGCATTAATTACAAAATAAAAATAAAAGATGTACAATAGACAACAAAAAGATGCAATATTAAAAACTACACAAATCATATAAACAATTGTAAGTATTAATATTTTAATGTTTGAATTTAAATCTATTTATTTATCGTAATGGGTACATATTTAATGATTTAAAAAGTATGTATAATCAGTAAGCAATTAATACAATTAATATAATTGTTGTCCAAAAGAAATCTTTACAAAATCATTTGCAATTTATTTTTAAATCTTTAACAATATTTATTATTGTTTTTAAAACTATATATTTTTAAATATGTATTCAAAGAATTGGAATAAAGTAAAAAATTGTATTTTATAAAAATGTATAATTTTTGAAATTATGATAAAAGCATCACCTAGTATATACTTTAATACCTACATTTTTTTATGGAATGCCCAGTGAGCTCAAGCTATAAGAGAACTGGAAGTTTTCTTTTCTTAGTTAATAGGTTTCACTGCAGTTGCTACACTTTAATTTACATATTGGTGTTGATAAAGATTTACTTTTTTAGTAGGAAAAATGTGGAAAATAAAACATTCATTTTGTCAAACTGTTTTCTTTTTAATAGCAAATGAGAATTAAATATTACATTTAGTTGGATGTTGTAGAATTAAACTTTTAAATGTTTTATTATCATTAGGCAAAGAAGTAGTACCACTTGTTTGTAATAGTTTGGAACTTTAGATATCTACACTATTAGTTTTTATATTATTTCATGATTTAGATACTGAACTACATAAATCCTACACTGTTGTATGTGGCAATATTTTTTTTTGGTGAAGCAATTGATTTACTCTTGGTTAATGGACTAGTAGTAGTTGTGATATTTTTCCTTATGGGTGGTTCAATATTATCAGATAATAATAGTTTGCTGTACTGATGTAGATGTGATGGTTAGGTTAATTAATATATTTAATTCTTCCATTCTCACTCTCAGTCAACATTTCACAAGATTTTTCACCATCCAATAATACAGAATGTGATCCTTTTCAAACATTTTTTACTAACATTTTGAAGGTAGACTTTTTATAAAATTGAATTCCTCTTCATTATCGGATAAAATTGTAGATTGGAATTACCAGAAGAATTAATTTCATCTTTAGATACAATCATATATTTAATTCTTCCATTCTCACTCTCAGACAACATTTCCCAAGATTTTTCACCATCCAATAATACAGAATGTGATCCTTTTCAAACATTTTTTACTAACACTTTGAAGGTAGACTTTTTTTAAAATTGAATTCCTCTTCATTATCGGATATAATTGTAGATTGGAATTACCAGAAGAATTAATTTCATCTTTAGATACAATCATATATTTAATCTTTCCATTCTCACTCTCAGGCTCAATATTTTAACCATTTTGACCATCCAATAACATTTCATAATCTAATCCTTTTTTAACATTGGATACAATTTTGAAGGTAGATAAGTTTTTATTACCTAATAAATTAATTTTCATTATAGAATATAATTATACATTTGAAGTTCTTATGAACAGAAGGTTCAATTACTTATTTTGCCATTAAATTCTCACTTTCAGAAACAATTTTGACTACTTCATCATCCAATAATCTGTAAAATTATTTTCATTGGAACTGTGTTTTTCATTTCAGTCATTGAACAAGTTATTCTGTGATTCTCCGTATAATTGTAAACGAATGTCATAGCTGAAATTGAATTAAGATTAATATAATAATAAAAATTAATACATTTCAATAAAGTAAGTCTTACGTCATAGTGATGTATCCCCGTAAAAGTGACAAGTCAATAGTTGGGGGGAAACCAGGATTTGTTTTAGAAACGTGCCCTTTACACGTCGCACATATGAACATACCTGGTTTCAGTACTAAAGGAAGTTTATTTTCTATCAATACACATATCCACATTTTGTGCATCAACCAGTCATCAGTGTTAAATGGTGCATTGAGTTTGTCACCACAGATTTGACATTTTGACATTACCATGATCTAAAGAAAAAACAATTATAAGTTCAAGAACAATAATTATTAAGTAGTTAGTAAAATGTTTTAAGTAAATTTACCATAGAATGATGAATTTTACAAAGACAAAAGGGAAATTTCAAGAAGTCTGTAGTTTGTTTTGTAGATTGTACGAAAACTAACTAAAATAAAAATAATTAATTTTTTTTTTAAAGCCACTAGTATAAACTATGATACCTTGACAATGACATAAAAAATAAATCATTATTAGTCTTTTTAATTTATTGTAGAAAACATTAATATTATTTACTTACACTACAAGACTCAAATGTTAACAATAATTCTTCAATATTTTCAAACTCATTTACAGGCATTTTATGACAATAAGGTTGAGAGCATAAATGTATTGAACATATCCTTGCCTGATTTTTTTTTTTTTGGTAGATTTTTTTTCACATAACGTTCCAACAATCTATACTTCTTTTCTGAATATGATTCTTCTTTTTTATTTTTCAATTTATAGCATTTGTAAGTATTTTCCAGGGCTATCCAGCAAAACTCACAATGGCATGAATCAGCATATAATGAGGGCTCAACTAAAATCATTCAATTGTTGAATATTTAAAATTATAAATGTATAATCATAATATATTTTCCACTAATTTATGTATCCGGACTATTTTAGGGGAAGAGATTTAATGGCAAGCATATCTCAACAACTTACGATATTCTATTGTTTATGTACCCTTCTGACAGGCTGCATCACAGATATATAAAAATACTAGACAGCTGACTTCAGAATTATTATTGTCGCCAATAAATAGGCTGCCATCATTATCCAAGAGGTGAATATTTATGTCGTATAGTATTCATAAGAAATTATATTACATGTGGTATGTATATATTTTAACATGATGTACTATGTACACAAAATAGTATTTTATCACCCACAGTATCAGTTTAATTTGTAAACAGCACGGTCTTAGAAGATAGGGTACTCTTTGCTTATAATTGTGTTTGCTATCAGAGGACATTTTAGTATTCATTTAATCCGGTATTTTTATAGCGCTTCTGTTCCAACTTTCTGTGTTTTGTACTATTTACCAACTTACTATTGGGCATCGGAAGGCAGTAGCAGTAAATAGGTAACCTAGTGGCACAGACGCAAGATGGCAAAGTGAATCGAAAAAATTAAAATTGCTCACCAATTATTAATTATATAACTTAACAAATAAAATATTTTTATATTAAATATTTATAAATATTATTAATATATATATTTTAAATATTTTTAATATTTTTAAATTGTTTACATAACCTTAATACAGTTCTGTTTGAGGTGTCTAATATAATAGTGGCGTAAAACTTAACTAAAACTTAATCTCTAAGCGACCGGATTTATTAAAGTTGTTAAATAGGGAAGTGTCCCAACCTTATCTTCTATGACCGTGGTAAACAGTCACCTCTTAGATAACGATTGGCGGCCATTTTGTTGGAGACATTTATGAGTACAGACTACAGCAGTCGGCTATCTAATATTTTTTTTATATCTGTGGGTTGCATGAAAAATCAATAAATATTTAACAAATAGTGAGTTTATGGTCCCTCAAACATGTTTAGAGGCATTAAAATTTCAATGATCAAGGACATAAAAATACTAAAATATGCATGCACTAATGAGCTAAGATATAATAACATATGAGATTTTGAACTTAATAAATGATATAATTAGTTACATAAAACATATAGTTAAATATTGAGTTATGGAAATGCATTTAATGTATCTTTAGAATGTTTGAAATTACATCTATCTATTTGTCAACTAACATTTATACTCTTATTAGTAAATATTATGATAAATAACCAATAGTGCCTCCCCACCCCCACCCGCAACCAATTAATTACGCCTACGAACAGGTTATTGTCTATAATTACGATAAATATATATAATTGTATCATAACTATTAAGACACTCTATAGTACAAAATGAAAGTGAACAGACAACCGACAATGTATGAGTTTAGGAAAACTAATTTTGGACAAAAAATTGAAAACTAAGATGGTACGTATTATTATGTATATTTAATTTAAAAGACCCTAAAAGCTTACTTTTTAAAATGTCATTTTGCTTTTCAATACTCTGTATTCGACATATATGTAAAGGAGTATCAAGTAGACGAAAAGCGTTTTTACACCTACAACAGCTGATAACGCTTAAGGTGACCAGAATGATAATGAACAGCCTTGTCGTTGTAAATAATAATGTGGACTGTATTTGTAATAAATTTTTAACTGCCGTTTGGCACAGTAATGATAATAATAATAATAATAATAACAGTATAAAATATAATTTCATTTGCCTCTTTGGCTATAATAATGATAATAATAAAAATAATAACATATTTATTTATTTATTTACGGAATAAATCCATTTACAATATTAATATATAGTGTACAGTGTAACAAAACATATGATGATATTTAGTTTAGTGATTACATATTATTTAAACCTAGATATAGTACAAGTATAGTTTACAATATATTAAATATAATTACATTTAGACTGAATTAACAGTGAACAATTAAAAACATTGAAACAAAACAAAAAATACATTTTAAATAATCAAACATTAAATGCTGATTTAATACTATTTATATTACAAAAAAACAAATCCAAATTAACTGAATTTGCAATAGACATCAGTGAATTTATTGGGGAGGAAAAAGAATAATTGGTTCGTATAATTTTCAAAGTGAATAAATCGTTATTTCTAGTTAAAATAATTTTTGCTTTAAAATTTAATCTTTCTAGTATTTCTTGGCATTCAATTTTGTTATTTAATAAATTAAAAAGAAAAATGTAAGCTAGATATTTTCTACGATTTCTCAAAGTAGGTATGTTGAAAAAACCAGATACTCCCTCATAACCTGAATGTGAAAGGCGTTCTACATTACATTTGAAGGATAAAAAGCGTAAAAAAGAATTTTGAACGGAATCAAGAGTTTGATTTAGAATTAAGGAATTAGGAGACCAAATGAAAGCAGCATATTCTAGTTGAGAACGTACAATAGAAAAATAAATGTTTTTTAATGCGAAATGATTGTTAAAATTTGAACATTGTCGTTTTAAGAATCCTAACTTAGAAGATGCTTTATTTTTTATTTTATTGATATGTTGTTTAAAATTCATTTTTGTGTCGAAAAATACACCTAAATCATTTATTAAATATACACGTTTAATTTCAAGGTTTATAAAATTGTAATTAAAATCAAGAATGGTTTTTTTTTGAGAGAATGAGATAATTGAACATTTATTTATATTTAGTTCCATGCCGTTATTTGTGCACCAATCGTAAAATGCGTCTAAATCTGATTGTAACTTCAAGGCATCAGAAACGGAGTAAATAGTTTTATATAATTTCGCGTCATCAGCAAAAAGTAGAATATTTGTATGTTTTAGTGAAGAAGAAATATCATTTATGTATAATAGAAATAACAGCGGAGAAATGTGGTCTCCTTGTGGAACCCCGGATGTTATAGAAATCGGATTTGAAAAAAACTCATTATATTTTACAATTTGAAATCTTTCTGTTAAAAATGAAGAAAACCATGATAATAGAGGATTTTTTATACCATAATGATTTAATTTAGATATTAATAAGTTATGATCAATTCGATCAAAAGCTTTCTTAAAATCAGTATATATCACATCTGTTTGTGTATTCATATTAAAAGATTCAAAAATGGTTTGTTTGAATGTGGCTAAATTAGTAATGGTTGATCGTTTAGTAAGAAAACCATGTTGTTCTTTGATAATAATGTTTTTTAATATAGGGAATAGTTTGTCATTTATTAATTTTGTGAAAATCTTAGGTATGATTGATATTATTGAGATAGGACGATAATTTAAAACGGATGAACGATCTCCTTTTTTAAATAACGCGGAAATATAAACTATTTTAAAAAGTGATGGAAAAGTTCCAGATGATAACGATTGTTTGAATAAGTAGTGAATTGGATATGATAATATGAAGCGGCAATTATAAAGAAATTTAGGAGATATATTATCTGGACCTGGACATAGATTTATATTTAGATTGTCTAATTCGTTGAAAATATCCATTAAAGAAATGTTGGTATTGCAAATATTTGGTATTGAATTTAAAATGTTATGTTTGTAATTAGGATTTGTTAAGGGTGATGTGTATACACTTGAAAAATATTCTTTAAACATGTCTACTATGGATTGTCCATCGCTTGCCTCCTTGTCATTAAATTGCATTAAATTAGGAAGGTGATTTTTAGGTTTTTTATCGTTAAAAAATTTCCAGAAGTATTTAGAAACATATGATTGAATCAGGCCTGAACGGCTGTAATATACAATGGAATACAATTAATAAATAATATGCGTTAATGGCTAACAGTACATAATAATGTGATGTTTACTACTTTAAGACCCGTCGGTCATACACACACATATCTGGTCGACCAATACTCACATAACAGTTGAGACACACACCTGGTTTTACACCCACGTTACCGCACCAGGGCCTGTAAGTATATCACTAAATTACAATAAAGACAAATTGACCCTGCGTACGTTCGAATGTGTGCCAGCAACTGTTGACGATGACTTCAATAACAATAACACATTGAATGCAGCCGGAACAGGATTTCTAGTGTTCGCACTACTGTTCCCACGAGCAATGAGGTACACCAAAACACGTTGATTCACAACACAAATCTTTGGTAATTTTGAACATCCTGTACTGGAGAAACAAATTAGTGATGGCAATACAAATTGCTGAGAACGATAATTACCAGAAACTTAAACACAAATTCACAACAACGTGGTTTTGGACGACTGCAAACAGCTCATCACAAACATGACGAGACAACCATGAAAACAATTGAACCGCTCGGCACCGAGCACCAAAAGTGAAGTGAAAGGCCCCGCACGATGTCCTGGAGGCACAATAGAGCAACACAAAAACGAACGGCCTTTCAGTGTCACCACACTAAAACAATAACCGATAACAAAAAAATTGTGAACTTTATGACACTGAAAGCATGACTACTCGAAATACAACTTAAAGTTTTTAACATAACCAAATATAATGAAAACATTGATAATTGTTCCACAGCTGGCCGGTCGCACACAAATGCCTGATAAGCATCAGCCGACGAAGGCTGCAACTGTGGAACGCACTGATACGTGCACATGAAAATGATAACAGAAACACACAACATAAATTTGTTTGCAGCGCAAACATATTCCCCCCTTTGAAAGGATGTGGTCCTTTCAAGGCTCATTAGACATGATTAATGATGATGCTGATTTCCCTAAGACATGATATTTGAACATTACATATGC